ACGTTTCTGATGGTTGTAATGTAGTCTGGCGAATAAACGCTCGGTGAAACTTCGCAGCCTATTTCCCTTTGTGCTTTCACCTGCCGGGGTAGCATAGCCTTATTGGGTGTCGTGTGACTATGCTGATGGACACAGGTACGACTTCCGGCCACGGCAGCCGTATTCGAATGGGGGTAAACTGCAAAGAACATCCATATGGTGGTAGTGTCACGTATAACTCTATCAATTGTATATGATCGTACTTTCACGCATGGACTGTATGGTATCAGGTTTCCTACACTATTGAGAAAACAAGTGTGATGCTTTTTTACGCGCCTCGTTGAATTCATGAGTGCTGTTGGTGCCGTGCGAAACTAAAAATGCGTGGGCTTACGAAGTATGTCGACACCGAAAAAAATCATTATTTTTTTTTTACACTCTAAGGTAATCGATAAAGCAAGACTGCTTGGGAAGCAGAGCTCCTTGTATTCGTGACAAATTGGTAGTATGAAACAACACGAGACACACATGGAAGTGTGCGGAGCATCGTGCGAGTGCCTGACGATAAAAAAAGAGAGGCTTTTACTCTATACTAATAAAACTAACGAAAACGTCATTCTTGCATTGCTTACAACAATCTTAGGTTAAAGCAATCGCTCGCGACTGGCCGCGGGCGGCTATAGGCTTGGCGTGCGCATGCGCGCGAGCAAGACCCCCGTGATTGAGGAGTAACTTGAACGCTGAAGGAGGAACGTTGCTCCTTTGGTCCTTGCCGCGAGAGGGCCCGACAGGTAAAGCGCCCGAAAGAGAGGAAGTCGCTGCGCCGAAGGAGGAACGGAGCCCGTTTCTCCATTCTCGCTCCCTTTTTTTTAGAGTGTAGGACCATCTCCCAGAAGGAAATCCTGATACAATGCAAATGCGCGAAGCAGCAGCAGTGCGCAAGGCGTTCACCAATTTGAAACGGGCGTCGACGTGGGTGCTGGAAGAACGGTTTGGAGGAAAAATTGGTATAGCGTTCACTCGAGTAAGTGTTTGTTAGAAACTCACAGACACGGAAGGTGGCACGCATTCAGGACACTTGCATTCGGCTCGCGTTTCGTCCATGTTACCCGCTCGCCGTCCGTATTTTCGAATGCGATCGGTGTTCTTGACTCACACCACATTGGTGTCGCTGGTCTTCCATTGCCAGCGCCTGCGTTCGGCTTGTCTGGCTCGCGCTACGTCGGTGTTGACGTCACCATTCGCGAACGCGTTTGGCTTCGGTAACTCTCGCAATGCCGGCTACAGCGGGGAAAGGTACGCGCACACTAGCGGGAAGCATTCCGCGACGGCGACGAGCCCGTCGGCGCGATCGCACGGCAAGCAGCGGCGCACGGTCCACATTGTCGGAGTTGCGAGATTCTTGAGACACGCGCAGGCAGATAGAAGGAGGTGGCGCGGGTGAGATGATGCACCCGTGAGGAGTGGGCCAACACCGACTAAATTCCAAGGCCGAAAGGCTGCCGCAGTGACGTCAGAGGGTGGAGGCCCAGTTACGCCGCGAACGCTGCGGAAAGCCGGTGTTTCGTTCGCGTTTTAGGAGAACAAACGCTCCCGCTCTCACAGCTGCTGCGGCTTGATTGGGCCGAATAAAAGATGTGGAAAAAAAAGTCTTACTGAGCATGCTCAGTTGGGTAACTGGGCCTCCAACCTCCGACGTCACTGCGGCAGCCTTTCGGCCTTGAAATTTAGCCGGTGTTGAGTGGGCTCGAGGGTTGCGAGAGGTGGAGAGGGTGAAACGAGAGAGGGCTGACACGCGGCGAGCACGCCGTAGTAGAGACAGAGAGAGAGAGATCACCACGCACTGCTAGGAGGGCATGAGCTACTTGGCACCGCTCCAGCAACTGCGGCGAAGGTAGCAGCCCAGACGGAAGGACAGCGTTACACAGGCTAGTTAAAGAGCTGCTTGGCATCAGAAGTACAAAGAGAGTGGACCTTAACTTTTGCTGTATTGCTGCTCTGCTGAATGGCGCCTTATTTTCTTTTTTTTGTTTTGGAATACACTGGTACAATTTTGACAAAACTTCACATATTTCACTAGTAAATGTCCGAAATAGTGGACAAAATATTTGACAAAAATGTTGGACAAAATATTTGACCGACAGCTGACTAACGTATTACAGCACTTTACCATGTGGCATGCTTCTGTTGGTTATGATGGTGCGACATGATCAAGGTTGGTAGTAACGAAGACTGTTTATAAATGAACTTTTATTCGTAGTCGCAGGAAAATTTAGGCGAGCAAAACGCGGCACCCTTTTCGCTTTACTACAAATAATTTCTAGTTACCACACTATGCTGCAATTGAGCGGGTGGCATCAGCGTCAAATTGCATATTGTCAACAGGTTTCCCTATTGTAATGCATTTACAAAAGATACGAGAAATAAGAAAGCGCTCAGTAAACAATAGTCGTTTTATCAGTTTTGTTTCTTTGCTTGCTTTGTGCAGCCTGCGATTTTTTTTCGCCGTAGAAGCTGCAAATGCGTCACAATTCAAAATACAAGTAACCTGTCAACCATCATGAAGTAAGTTACTCGCCTGTGATTCACTTATTGGAATGAAAAAGTTTTATATTGCAACTAATATTCTAAGCTAAGCAATTTATGCCCCGCCGCCGGTCTAGTGGCTAAGGTACTCGGCTGCTGACTCGCATGTCACAGGATTGAATCGCGGCCTCGGTGGCTGCATTTTTGCTGGAGGCAAGAATGCTGTAGGCTCTTGTGCTCATATTGGGGTTTCGGAGCCCAATATGAGCATAATGGATTCGGAGCCCAATATGAGATTTTCAGAGCCCTGCACTACGGCGTCTCTCATATTATATGGTTGTTTCGGAACGTGAAACCCTACATATTCATCAAATATACAATATATAGCTATCACTAACAAAACTGGCTTTTAGTACTAACCCTTGTGGCACTTGAGACACTACAGCAGTGCCACTGAAACATGCTGTTAAGCATTAAAGTGTTTTAATCGGCGTGTCGAGTTTTTCTTATGTAAAACGGGCCACTATCGTGAAGTTTCAGCTTATGAATTCTGCACTTTAGTTCTTCACGAGGCAGTGTATAAATACGGCATCGACGTGGTGCTAGTCATCCACAGAGAAACTATGTAGGCCCATTATGTAAAACCATATTGCTACGTTCGAATGGCATCTCCATCAAGAGGGCGGAGGGAAGTACTACAAAGCCATAAACGAATCGGCCGAGCTGCTCGCTTAACCGGGTACATGTTTATCAATTCTTTTGAGTCTGTGGTGTTTCCCGTGACAATTATGCTGTTGTAGCACTTGACGATTCTTGCTTATATTTACCACTACATGGCTTTATATCATAAGTTTCAATAACTTACACCAATGTTGTAAATGCAATTGGGTAATCATTGTTCATATATGAACAGTTGAGATGCAATTAATAAGCTGAATAGGTTTAAAATGTAATGTACAGGGCTGGGCTGAGATACTGGCGACGTAAGGAATACTTCAATGATTTGTCATGTAAAGCACGCTAGCGCAGAGCACGCTGATTTGAAAACCGCTCATAGAGAGGGTAGAGGTTGACGTTTTCAGGGAGGTCTAGCGAAGACTTTTTACGCGAGCACTCCTCTCGAAAAACGAAAACGCAAATGGCCTAGCTATCTATGTTTCGACATCCGAAACTCTGTACGACTTTATTATATTGGTTTCATATTACGGCAAGAAAAGTGGTGTGGACACATCTATCGAATCAAGCGCCCATATGGAAAGTATCTTCGACAGATTGATTTGACGAGCTCTAGCGTTTCTCATGGCGTATTTGGTTGGCCGCTCTGGTCCTCTGAATCAGAGCCGCTAGATGCAGAGGCAGCTCGCAATCAGAGCGTGAGTGGCAGCGTACCAAACAAATACATTGTCGATCTCAAAGTACTTAGAGCAGCGCGCCTCTAGTGCCACCATGCAACCAGCGCGCGAATCAGCCGGGTAGACATTGCTGCGCCTCGTCAACAAATAATGCCGATCTGCTCAGTAGGCATCTGTGACATGTCTGAATGTAGCGTAGGCCTTCTGAATTCAGCACAAAAATCTGGTGATGATCCTCATCTAAGCTGCTAACTACAAGCCAAATCACGACGCTGTCTGCGAGCAGCTGTAACGACAGCATTGACGTTTCTTCTACCTTCGCTAGCTGTCTCGTTGTGGACATGGTCCACTGATGGCTTCGTAGCTGTATATTCGCCATAGACACGCGCAAAAACATTATTAACAACGCATGTGCACAAAGTATTACGTTCCCACCGATATACCCTTCCCAAATACATGCTTGCGCGTCTCATCTCGTTAATCTGCCGGCAGCCACGTGATTGGCTGGCTTGTGACACGTTATCTGTCCTTCCGGTAAGATCGCGCCACGCTATCACTTCGAAGTCAGAGCTGGTGGGAGCACCCTGAATGAGAGGCTGACGCTCTCAAAGAACTACCGAAGGGAGTCCGAGCACTCGCATTCTACCAGTCGAAGGCGCAGCCACGTTTCAGTGTGCTCCAGAGCACTCAATTACGCCCAACCGAATGCGCCATCAGCGTTATATAACTTTTAGTTACGGTAAGAATGCTTTTGCTTTCGCGACTGCAACATGTCTGTTGAGAAGTGATCGTGATGCGTTCCTTTCTACCTCACAGCTATGAAGATATCCATAATGTTCTTCCTGAAAAGATAGAAAGGTAGAGAAGTATACATGGCAAAAATGTGTCTTGCTCCACGACTTCACTCCATGACCATGTCTCTCAAACGTAAGTTTCTTATAGGAGTCCATCTGGGGGTTTACTTCCTTGTATAAACGTAAAATTCTGCCTTAGAAAGTAGTCTTTTCTATTATTGCCGGCTTCCACAGAAATACGATCGTTTACTTCGAACAAAGGCAACAATGTTGCGCTGAACGCAAGCTTTTTGTGCAAGGTATAGTAAGAACGCCATGAAATCAGTGCGTAACAAGAGTCGTCACGTACCATTGCATCGTGAGCTAGGTAGTTGACAGCTTCGGCGACGATCGGGGCGCCGAGGACGTAGTACCAGATGCTTCCTTGGTAATAATCACCAGCGTTCAGGAACAGCACGTTAGCGCCAGACGCCGCTGCTTGCGACACCTGCAAAGCAGTGATAATTAGTCTTTGAGTATTTTGTTCTAGTTTACGCGAGTGATTGAAGCTTTTCTTTCTAAAAATAGCTGGAGTTTTGCGTCCCCAAACCAAGATTCGATTAATAGAGGCGCCGTCTTTGACGCCTGGTTACGGTAATTTTGACCATCTGGTGTTATAATGTGCACCGACATCACACAGTACACGGGCCTCAAGAGCACAGCCTCCTTAAAGGCGCGACCGCCGCTGCCGAGATCGAATAATTGGCTTTCAAGCCACCAGTGATCCATCGTAGCCGACGTACTCGGGCGAATCAAAGGATGGGATGCCGACGCCTTCAAGACCTTCTCCTTGGCCACTTCGTCCATGTCGTATACGACGCCCGCCTCTACCGCAACTTTTGAGGGAAGACTTCAAGGTCGTAGCCAGGCCCCATGGTGCTTTGGACATAATTAAACCGACACCTCTCACGCTCCTAACAGATACCATCCTCTACGACAGAAGTTTCCCTGCAGTAACCCCTCGCCCAAGATCAGTTGCAGCTGCACCCAAGCAGCAATACCTTCATGCTCGTCACCTCTTCGCAGGCCCAGGCTCGGGCTTTGGCTCATGCAGCTTACTTCTATCCTATGTCGGCGGTAGCAGAACTAATGTCACCGCCTACCTTGCTCCACCCAAACATTCTGTGCGGTACATCATTCCCACGGTTTACAAATATGAGCCACACAGAAATTTGCAGGGCCTTGCCTTCAACAACCCAGACGCCCCAATCATCAACGTTCGTCCACTTGGAAGAAAGCAACCAATCCTTATTACCCTGGCCATTGGACCTTTGCCCAAACCTATTCCACTTCTTTGCTGGTATCCATACAGGTTTTGCTAACCGATAAAAAGTAGAAAGATGCTAAAATTTTCGTCGCACCAGGCACCGCCAAGACGTTTGTTAGGCTCCATCAAGCGAAACCTGTCATAATTGCGGTGACCATCATGTCCCGACCCAACCTTCAACGTGCTGACAGAAGTGTATCGTCTGCGGGGACGGGCACCACACCAGCAACGTTGAACGAAAGCAACGCTACGCTCGCCGGCCGCCACGCAGAACTCAACTAGCGGCTTCACACCACTCCAGGTCTCAGAAGAAGGAACAGCCAGCTTCTCGGAAGCCTTCACATAGTACTTCGCACTCCGGCTCCCGTGACAAGAGCCACAAACCCACACAGGAACTCACCTCTGCTGATCGAGCACGAAAATTACCGCCAGCCCCCGTTCAGCATGCTCCCAATCACAATAACAATGACGAGATCCGGGCCTTCTGGAGGAGGTAAGCCGCCTTACAGCCCTAGCAGAGCGCACACATGTCCCTCCTACTCCCTCTTTCTCACCTTCTCTACCCACGTTTCAAAAGCATACTAACACCAGTTCCAATCTTCCACCCTCCGAAAAACAATGCACGAATCTCCCAACGCCATTCTGGTCCGATCCACATCAATGCGAAGCTAAAAGATCTGTCCGACCAATTCGGCAACTTTAGGAACTGGAAGGCCACATTGAAACAAAATTGAACATTCGTATCACTGCCGTAAGTACAAAATTAGAGGCACGCAGTAGAAAATTGCATGGAAGTCATTCTCTAGAGAATAGTTCACCTTCTCGAGACACGCCTGAAACAGCCGCTTCCTCTTGCCGCGGCCTTTCCCATAACAGCACCATCTGTCGGTGTGGAGCCCAAATTTCCAATAACAAAATAAGCACCTCTCATTGATCCTCCTACTGCTCCATTATGGCAGGACTGGGCAGCAATTATAGTCGACTTCATATCATAGCATGAAACTGTCGTAGCTTTAGAGGCATGCGAGCACCACTGCAGCTTCTACTTCGTAATTTCTCCCCAACGCCCCCGGTCCTTCTTCTACAAGAGACAGCTTACAGGCCACGCTTCTTAGTTACAACTCCACACACTCTGGTATCACAGACGCACCGAGAGCGTCTACCCTTGTCCACCGCAGCCTCACATATAAGACACACTACATTACATCATACACCCAGGGCGATAACAGAAATTATGCATCACACACACACACTCTCACACAAAGCCGTCCTATCCACATTTTCGCTAACATCTACCACCTACCATCCCGACCGATGAACACTTTTGACTCTTTCTTCTGAAGCTTCATCAATTGGCGGGGCAACATCACTTGCTAAGTGGCGGCAGTCTCTAGAGTCAGCATACTGACTGGCGAAACATAGCAACCGCACATAGAGGTCACAGGCTATGGGTACTCCTACATACCAACTGTCTATGTAGAACAACTTTCAGACACCTACGCGAATAGGAAACAGTGCCAGTATGGACACTAGGTCACACCTAGTGCTTAGTTGCTCCCTCTCTACTGTCACATTTACGAGAACGCAGCACAGACTGGGCGGTGATCACTCCGTCCCCATCAAATCATCCAGGCACACCTCCATGGACACTCTCCGTGCTGCACGTACCACCCACGCAGACTTTTCAATCACGAACATCATAGACTGAGTATACTTCTTTCAGAACGACACCCAGCATCATACACGGCTGACTGAATTCCCCACGGAGACCCCAACACATGAAGGCTGACTTGCACACTTATGAGATGCCTACCACAGCTTTCTAGAACCGTGGATGCCGGGTAAACATAGCAGTACACTCTACAATACCAAATCCAACAACATTCAGAGGGGCTATGCTGCTCCTATTGGGGAGAAGTACGCGACGACATCACCGGCAGGCTTACCGACAAAAGGGCCTCCTCCGACACCTCCTCGACCCATCTCACACGCAAACTTCTACCCAGCAGCACGTCACCCGGCTTATACACTCACACATGGACATCTCTAATGATCTCTTAGAACCACCTGAGGACACCTACACATCACCTGGAACCACAACTCCTTTTTCGTTATACGCAGGACAATCGAACTCAGAACTCGACATCGGCATAACCGAGGCGGAGGTAAGAGCTGCCGTTTTGACTCCACGCACAAAATCCACACCGGCGACGACTCGATCACCAACACAACACTGCCAAGCCAGGATCACAACTCAAAAACTCGCATGACGGAATATTTCAACCAGTGCTGGAAAGAACGCACGCTTCCGCGGCCATGGCACCACGCGAACATAATGTTCATACGAAAACCAACCAAAACGGAAGCCTAACAAACCACCTACGCACAAAAACTTGACCCAATCTCATGAGCTTAATTTTTGGGCAAGCTTTTCGAGCACAATGTTTTGGCAAGGCTCACACAGCATTCGAACGATTATACGACTTACACCCTGACACCATGGTTGCCTTTCGCCCCGATATTATTTTTTTGGGCTTACTGGAACATACTGTCCTACTTCACAAACTTTAGGGCTGGAACACAATGAATGTTGGCCTGCACAACGTTTAACATCAGCCCATATGTCGCCTTTATACAGCGATACGACAAATACGTGGAACGGAATGATTATAGGACGTCACACTGTAAGAACCTATTAGTAAGAGCAACGGTATAAAAGTAAAAGAACGGAAACCCCGCCGAGGGGGGTTGCTCAATGCGATAATTAGGTTAATTCACACACAGTCGACGGAACCTGCCCACCCAGCGCAGTATAAATCGGAAATCATCGGGACGAATCACTCATTCCTCGTTGAACGTAAGAGTTGATATATATATATATATATATATATATACATATACATACATACATATAAGATATATATATATATATCCCGATGATTGAAGATGGTTATCAATCAATCAATCAATCAATCAATCAATCAATCAATCTATCTAAGCACCTACGAGCCTGTGACTTTCAACTCTCCTGGCTGCTTCAATAATGGTATATATACTGGAATTGATACGGCAAAAGGCGACTGTACGCCAAGCATAAGTGACTATTCATAACAAAAAATCATGACATATATGTCATAAATGTCGTGATATATATTTCAGAATCTTGCTGCTTCTGCTGTGGTTTCATTTACATGACATATCACAAAACTGGTATAGCAGGGCATGATTGCATGGCGAACATAAGGGACAGGCCCTCACGCGGAAATCATCATATGCCTGCCATGTGAGACCATGTTTACATGCCACGCTCATGATGGGCTCGCGGTCATTACGCTAGCTTCACACACACGAAATTTTGTATTACGTGACGTGAATGGATGGTGAAGACCGGTATATGACTGGTGCAAACACGATAGTCATGACATGCGTGTCACGTAAGAACATGGCAACATGGTACGCTCATAATGCACCTGCGATTGTTTCGCTAACATCACATATACCAAATTTGGTATTACGTCACGTGAATCAATGACGAAGGTATTCGACTGGTGCTAACATGATAATCATGAGATGCGTGTCATGTAGTAACATGGATACATGCCCCATTCATGATGCACATGTGGTGGCCGTTACGCTAGCTTCACATACCAAATTTGGTATTACGTGACGCCAACGAACGAAGAAGGTAAATAACACGTCCAAACGTATAATAGTCATGACAACACGCGTGTCATGTAAAACATGTACTACATGCTACGTTCAGAGTGCGCTCGCTGTCATTTTGCTAGTTTCACATATACGAATTTCGGTGTCACGATACGTCAATGAATGATGAACGTATACGACAGTTGCAAACAAGATAATCATGAAATGCGTGTCTTCGGAGAACATGTCTTTCTGTCATGCTCATGATGCGCTCGCCGTCGTTTCACTGGCTTCACACACACCATATGTGGTGTTACTTTACGTGAGTGGGTCACAAAGGTATATGACTTGTGCAAACATGATAATCATGACAAACGTGTCTTGTAATGAAGATGTGCGGGTTTTTATAGCACAACGGACCGTTCTTGGCCAAAGAGTGCCATGAAGATTGGTAAACGAAGAGCAGTTGTCCATCATTGAAGCGATATGAACAAGATGTGAACAATGGCTATGTTACACGCCTCTAAAGGGGCCTA